GGGTTTAGGGTTTAGGGGTTTAGGGTTTTGGAAAGCGAAGTAGCTGGGGGATTTAGGTGCAATCGAGCTTTTCCTAGCTGCTGCTTTGGTCTCAAGACGTCTGCAGTGTATACATGCGTTTCACTGCAACTCAAACTCTAGCACTATTATAAGTACTGCAAGAACTACATCTATACAGGAACGTCAACACGGACTCACTAACAGAGCAGGATTTCACAACCCTAAACCCTAAACCGGGTTTAGGGGTTTAGGGGTTTAGGGTTTAGGGTTTCAGGTATCGGGTTTAGGGTGGAGAGGTGGGACTTGGAGGTCTTGAAATTACCTTAACCTACCATAACCCATTTTTTTGTAGGGTTTAGGGTTTAGGGTTTAGGGTTTTTGTAGGTTCTTGTTATAAACCCTAATATGGGATTTATAGGGACCCTGCAAAAAAGGTTCGGGTTTCAGGTATCGGGTTTAGGGGTTTAGGGCTTGGGGTTTAGGGTCTCGGGTTTAAGGGATTAGGCTTGGGTTCAGGGGTTTCGGGTCTGGGGCGTAGGGCTTAGACATAAGGGCATCAGGTTCAAGGATTACCGCCAAGGACATATCGTAATTATGCTCCATGCTGACACTGAGAAGACAGCCAGGTGCCCTAAACCCTAAACCCTAAACCCTAAACCCTAAACCCTAAACCCTAAAACGCTTTAACCACTATAACTCCCTCAATCCCCAAACCCGTAAACCCGAGCCCTTAAATCCATAAACCCTCAAGCCCCTAAATCCAAACTCCTAGGGTTTAGGGTTTAGGGTTCAGGGTAGGGTTTAGGGTTTAGGGTTTAGGGTTTAGGGTTTAGGGTTTAGGGTTTAGGGTTTAGGGTTTAGGGTTTAGGGTACCCTTAAACAACCCGAGGTGCATTTGGTGCTGGGCTTCCACCGTTTCCAGCTTTTGCGGACAGCCAGATCCTGCAACTTTTTGGTCGGGGTGTAGGAGGGGTGTAGGGTTTAAGGTTTAGGGTTTAGGGGATGTTTACTGGTTCCCTGTTGGGATAATATTAAAAATGATCATTTTCAATCCTTATTGAGGTTTATTACAACAAAAATGTAAACTTATATCCAACAAGGACCCAGCTTACAGGGTTTTACCACCATGTTGGAGAGGCTTTATAGGGTTTGTTATACATGCTTTAAGCAGAGTCTACGTAGCGTAGAGGGTTAGTGGAACATCAGTGCTAGGACCAGAGGCCCAACAAAACACACACACACACACACATATATATATATATATATACACACAAACAAACATTACGATGTCACGGTGAAGGAATTTCTGGTATGCCTCGCTAAAAGAGTTCTTATACCCGCGAAGAGAGTCCCCATGTTTGCGGTCTTTATGAGCACAGAGTTAGGGTGTAAGGGAAGGCTCACCTGTGGCAAGGGTTTGGGGCGTGAGGATTTGCGGTTTAGGGTTTAGGGTTTAGGGTTTAGGGTTTAGGGTTCCTAAACCCTAAACCCTAAATCCTAAACCCTAAACCCTAAACCGCGTTTAAGGCTTCAACAGTGTAGGGCTAGAGCGCTTGAGGGCTTCGGCGCGCAGGGTTTGATATGCAAGAATGATCATAGTTTACTATATCTCAACAACCCCACTCCAGTCATTGAGGCCCCAAGTTGGGGTTTTTAGCTTCACAGCTCAACCCTAAACCCTAAACTCCTAAACTCCAAAACCCTAAACCCTAAACTTTAAACCCCAAACCACAAACCCTAAACCCCCAACCCAAAACCCTAAACCCTAAACCTTATGCGCTTCCAGGGGGCCCGGTCCTGTCCACAAATGGTTTCTGCAGCCGTGGGAAGGACTCCACATCCTCTCTAAGGACTTTAGGAGGGACCCCTAATAGGGACCCTTAATCCCATTACCTTAAATAACCACTGTATAGTCCTTATATACCCCTTATAAAGCCAGGTAGTCTCCATATTAACCCCAACCACCTACAAGGGTCCCTATTAAGGGTCCCTCCTAAAGCCTTTAGATCCTCTGTAGCCAAGGCTTTGGGGTTTAGGGGTGCTAGGGTTTGGGGGTCTCGGGTTTGGGGGTTTAGGGTTTTAGGGTTTAGGGTTTGGGGGTTTAGGGGTTTAGGGGTTTAGGGTGTTAGGGCTTCAGGGTTTAGGGTTTTGGCGTTTGGGGGTGAAGGGGTTATATAGTTTTTGGGGGGTTTAGTAGTTTGGGTTTCGGGCGCAGGGTTTAGGGTTTTAGGGTTTGCGGGTTTAGGGTGTAGGGTTTAGGGTTTTATGGTTTGGGGGTTTAGGGCTTCAGGGTTTTAGGGTTTGGGGGTTTAGGGCTCCAGGGTTTAGGGGTGTTAGGGCTCGGGACGCAAGCGTGCAAAGGATGCTCAGGGCTGCAACGTTGCTGCCTTCTTAGAAGGAACAAGATGAAGGAAACTCCCGAACGCGAAACCCTAAACTATTAGGGTTTAGGGTTTAGGGTTTAGGGTTTAGGGTTTAGGGTTTAGGGTTTACCCTTTGATGTTAGCATGATTACTGAAGATGATTCTTAAGAGCACCTCTGGCCTTGTCCCTGTCATGTTCCCCTTAGCAATAGACCCCATAAGACCCTTTTAAAGGCCCCTATGTACCCAAAACATCCCAACATACCTAACCCTAAACCCTAAACCCTAAACCCCCAAAGTAAGAGCCCACCTCGGTCCCAAAAAGCTCCACCACTTGGCCCGGCGAAGGGTCGGCAGAGCCTCGGAACGAGCATCCCGAGCCGAGGGACGAGGGCAGCTGTACTAAAAGGTCCGCTTCGGGTTCAGGGTTTCGGGTTTAGGCTTTAGGGTATCGGGTTTGGGATTCAGGATTTATGTTTTAGGGTTTCGGGTTTGGGATTCAGCGTTTATGTTTTAGGGTTCCGGGTTTGGGGTTCAAGATTTGAGTTTTAGGGTTTGGGGGTTTGCATCGACGGAGAGCGCTTCATTGTAAGAAGGAACGAACTTTAGAAGTAACCTTTCTTGTTGCGGGTATTTTGGCCAGCTACCTGAAGGTAATGGGCATTTTGTGACAAGGGGAACAAGTAGGATGGAATTGGACAGCACACTGCATTCACAATGGTGACAACACTAACAGTTTAACAACGAGGGTAGTAAGATCTCCACCCTAAACCCTAAACCCTAAACCCTAAACCTAGCAAGCAACCTCTTCTCCAGCACAAGTTTGTCATTCAGCAGAGACATGCCCAAACAGAGCAGCAGATCAATGACAGCCAGGGTTTAGGGTTTAGGGTTTAGGGTGGCACCCAAGCAACTCAGCCACTCCATTGCAAACAAGCTGCTGATGCCCTTGTTTCGAGCACGCTCGGGTAGCCTCGCACGCTGCGAGCTCGATTGAGATTTGGGGTTTAGGGTTTAGGGTTTAGGGTTTAGGGTTTAGGGTTTAGGGTTTAGGGTTTAGGGATTAGGATTTGGGGTCTAAGGTTCAGCGCCTCACGTTGGTTACTACAGCCTATCTTTCATGTAGCCCCCGACCCTTAGGGCTTTACAGTATGGTTTAGGGTTTAGGGTTTAGGGTTTAGGGTTGAGGGTTGAGGGTTGAGGGTTTAGGGTTTAGGGTTTAGGGTCCAAACATTTCGGGGCCCGGGCGCTCGTAGCTTTAGGGCTTCTCAGCACGTGGCCCAGAGACTCCAATATCCCTTAATTAAGGAACATTCCTTAAATTATAGTAGGATCCTTAATAAATATGATTTCAGGTATATTCCTTAAATTATAGTAGGATCCTTAGTAAATATGATTTAAAGTATCTTCCTTAATTAAGGGATATTGGAGTCTCTGGGGGGGAGCTTGAAGGCGAGCTGCTCGTCAGCACGCTCCCGCGCAGCGAGCGCCGCTGCGTCTGCGAAGCGCCGGAGCCTTTTGGGGAGGGAGGCGAAGATGAAGGGAGAACGGCTAGGGTTTAGGGTTTAGGGTTTAGGGTTTAGGGTTTAGGGTTTAGGGTTTAGGGTTTAGGGTTTAGGGTTTAGGGTTCGGGTGTGGGGCTGGGTTTATAGTTTAGGGTTCATGTCGGAGGTTTAAACCCCCCAAAATCTAAACCGAATTTAGACCAGCTGAGGGTTTGGGGCGGACAGGAGAGGCAGGGTGGAGAGCGACCAAAAGGCCCTGAGCCATCAAGCCGTTAACGAGAAGACCCTAAACCCTAAACCCTAAACCCTAAACCCTAAACCCTAAACCCTAAACCCTAAACCCTAAACCCTAAACCCTAAACCCTAAACCCTAAACCCTAAACCCACAGAGTCCTGGTCGAACCGTTGCACGGAACCCTTGTAGAACCCTTATGACCCTTTCACGAATCCGTCTAGAATCCTGAAAACTCTTGAAGAAGAAACCTCATCCAGCCCTTCAAGAAGAATACCATCGCACCTTTCTAGCTACTGTAGTATACTCCCAAGCCCAATTCTAACTACGAAGGGGCCTATGCTAAACCCTGGAACCCTTCCCCCAACCCTTTAAAGGAACCCTTTAAAAGAACCCTCTACCGGAAGCCCTTAAAGGAACCCTTTCTAACGGAACCCTTCCAACGGAAGCCCTTAAAGGAACCCATTTTGAAGGAACCCTTTTCAAAGGAACCTTTAAGGAACCCTTTGTAAAGGAACCCTTTTTTAAGGAACCCTTTTTATGGAAACCTTTAGTGAACCCTAAACCCTAAACCCTAAAAAGGAACCCTTGCTAAAGGAACCCCGTGCAAGGAACCCGTAAGGAATTACTCAGGCCCTAAACCCTAAACCCTAAACCCTAAACCCTAAACCCTAAACCCTAAACCCCCCCCAATGTTCAGCGCTTCGCTGCTGGGCCCGTGACTGAGGTGCCAGGATGGCCCGGGAGTAACACCCTGGGAGGGAGAGATGCAAAGTTGCTGTTGGGATCTCCTTTATGGGTTTAGGGTTTGGGGTTTAGGGGTTTAGGGTTTAGGGCTTAGGGTTTAGGGTTGAGGGCTTAGGGTTCAGGGGTTTAGGGTTGAGGGTTTAGGATTTAGGGGCTTAGGGTTGAGGGTTTAGGGGTTTAGGGGTTTAGGGTTGAGGGTTTAGGGTTTCCTTAAGGATTTATGGGTTTCTAGCTTAAGGGTCGAGGGTTTAGCTATGGCTTTGAGGGATCTGCTTGAAGGTCTGCTGTGTAAGGGTTCTAGGGCCTTTTGGGGGGTTTAGGGTTTTCCTGCCTCAAGGTTTCTGAGCTGTTAGGCTTGCGACAGAGACTGTAAGGCCTTGCGAGCCCTCAGACGCCTTGATTTATGACCATGCCTGAAAAGTTTGGGTTTTCTGGTTTAGGGTTTAGGGTTTAGGGGTTAAATGCTTAGGGTTTCGTAATTGCTTTAAGATATGCTCCTTAATCACTTTGGGTGCGGTGCTCTCTGGCGAATTATTGGAAGCCTTCGGAGGCTATCTGCACTTTAGGGTTTAGGGTTTAGGGCTGAGGGTGTAGGGTTTAGGGTTTATAGAAATTGTTCAGGGTTATACATCCACCGGCCCTCGTGACGCACTCCCTGTACCGACCCAAGGTTTCACCTGAAATTCACCGTCACCTCGCCCCGCTTGTGTCTCGCAATGCTACCATGGAAGCTCTTAAAAAGGGGGCGACTCAAACGCAGACCTTCACGGCAGGATCTTCATCATAAGGATCATTGGAAATTCCAACATGAAGCCTGCGACGAGCAGTATGGCTCTGGAGCTAGCTACCTCCATCACACCCTAAACCCTACAAACTAAATCCTAAACCCTGCCCCCCCCCCCGAACCCTAAAAACCAAACCGGAAGACTCTACACTCTGCGCCCCTAAACCCTCAAGGCCCCAAATGGTAGCTGACTCAGTGATCGTCTTATTGGACTTGCAAGCGGGATCCGAAAGTAGGGCCCTCACCGGCTTATGTTACAAGATGTCTGAATGAGTAGCATAGGGTTTGGGGGTAAACCCTAAACCCTAAACCCTAAACCCTAAACCCTAAACCCTAAACCCTAAAAAGAAAACCTGAGGCCTGAGGAATACTGTGGGTAATTGCTCGTCACCCCCTATGCTACCCAAACGCCGTCGCAAGAAAACCCCACAAAGTCTGCAAGAGCACTGGAACTCCCTAGAGGCCGATACTGCATTACAGGAATGGTGTTGATAACTATTATACATTCCGACCTCCATAGCTCGGACCCCCGAACCCCAACCCTAGACACGAGGACCAAAAACCCTGGTAGCAAGTGACGGATGTCTCGGGAGCTGGCGTAGGCACAAAGCAGGGGCCAGTGCCCGCGGCATCCCAGCGGCGCATGGGGCTCGAAAGGAAACGATCTAGGGTTGTGGGTTTAGGCTTTAGGGTTTAAGGTTTAGGCTTTGGGGTCTAGGGTTTAGGGAGTACTCCCTATTCTCGAAATTATAACTTAAGGTATGTAAAGCTGCTGAAAGTAACGATACAGGGACAAGACTATAACATATATAATGAAAAATATGGGCGCTGTTGCAAGGGGATACTAAGATACTTTTATATGTATATATATATATATATATATATATCACTCAGACCACTATGAATGATAGTACGGTCCTGGACCCATTGAATGCTTGATGACGACGGTCCTTGTGCTGCCAACATAGCCACGTCCGTTTTCTGTCCATAGACGTCAAGTCGTGTCCGGCTTTGAGCCACTTGCTTGAACTAGCCGTTAAAGGGTTTCCCAGAGAATATTAAGGATCCTACTATAATTTAAGGTATATTCCTTAATTAAGAGGTATTGGAGTCTCTGGGTTAGATTAGAGTTCAGGGTAGAGTGGCATCTTCCGGCTCGTGAGCTCCTGCAGAAGCTGAGTCGGAGGCAACATTTTCGTGCGCAGGATCCGACCGGAAAGCCAGAGATGCTAATTCCGCCACATGGATGCCCCATCGGAGCCGCATGCTGTCAACAGCCCTCTTTCAGCCGTCGCAGTGAGACTGGCAGACTGCCCTGTCCGGATCATCTTTGCCCGAAGCCGCCAAGGGTCAGCTGCTCTGCGGTGCTGCAAGCACGAGAAAATGCGGATTGCTTGACCAACATCGAGAAGGGTAGCTTTCTAAATGAGCGTCCCTTTCAGGGTCCTTTTTATAAGGGTGCCGTACTATATCGGGGACCTACAAAGGGACCCTAATTTAGAGAACTACCCAGAATCCTGGGACTTCTATGTTCTCTGCACAACCCCGATCCGAAACCTCGTGAATCTGAAGCTGCAGTCTTCACGGTGGCCGCAACTCCTCCATGGCTGGATGCACAGGTTCGAGGTCTTGCGTGCTCATGAACCCGGAGACTCCAATATCCCTTAATTAGGGAATATACCTTAAATCATATTAAGGATCCTACTATAATTTAAGGAGTATTCCTTAATTAAGGGATATTGGAGTCTCTGGGAACTTCTGGATAATCTGCAGTGACATCGATCAGGCTGCATCCGATGAACGGGATATGAGATTCAGCTCCCACCCGCCTCGTCATGGCGCTTGATGAAGTTGTCTGCCGTCGCCTGGCCGCAGACAAGGACACGCACTAAATGTCACTCAAGCATCAACGATGACGTTGGTATGCTTTGCGGCGGTGGTTGTTCTGACATCAGTGGCCTTGCTAGCAGGACAGTAAAGAATCTCCTTCACTTAGGCTCCGACTCAAGCTAGTTATTGCTAGCCTCCTCGACAACTCTGACAGTGTCCTCAACTTTACATCCCTTATTGCCCCGCCTCCGCTACTTTCGTGGCTTCCTCATGGTGGGCATCCACGGACAAGTCCTCCACGGTGATAGCCGCAATTTCACAATGTCAGCAAGACAAGTCTCCCACCTACTTAAATTTGCAAATGGCTGCCATCGTCGCAACGATAATAACCGTGACAGTACTAATCGGGACACGAAGCTGTCAGAAGATTCAGGGGCAGCAAATAACAGGACCGACATGCAGGACTCCGTAAGCGTTGCTTATGAGGGCTTAGCCTAAACCTAAACCCTAACCCGCCTCATCCTTATGACGCTGCTTACTCTCCTGCGGCAGCTGTGACAGCGTCTCGTCCAAGGAGGCGCCTGAAGGATACACCGGCGGAGCCCTTTTTTTTTTCCTAACGTTGGCGGTCCCCGGTTTGCCTTGCTAAGGTTGGCGGTCCCGTTTTGGTTAGAACTACCATGCACTGCAGCATTTCCTATTGTTTTGCATCTAGCTGTTAGGCAACTGCAATTAGCAGGGTGGCCTTTTGGGCTAGGGCTGGGGGTCGGGTTGGAATGGTCAGCTCCGCCAATTAGACTTTTTCAAATCTTTAAAATCCTTAACAT